GCTTTCCCTATCGGATGCGTTCGAGACATGTGATAGGCAAGAGCGAGGCCCCCTTGTCCCATTTGCCCAAAAGGTGTGATCGGCAGCATGAGTGCTAGGAAGAGATAACAAGGGAAGAGTGTGATAGCAACAGCAACAAATAACCAGATGAGCAATGTAAATATTTTTCTACTTTTGCCCTGGGAATTGGGAAATTTTTATGTGGTCTGTGTTCTTTTTTTGTTTGGGGGACTTGTCTCCAAAAAAAAAGGAAACCCTTGTTTTCTGAAGAAAAGGTGTTCTTCACAAGCATTGGAAAGGAGAGTGCAATCTTAGCTCATTTTTAATTGACCTGTTTCCAAACTGATGAAGAGTCCTTAAGGACTCTTTATTATACACTCAGTAATGTATCTCAGTAGATATACAGTAGATCCTTCTTTTTCTTCACACAGATGAAATTAATCTCTATATGTAAAAACAAATACGTATGATGTGTTTCACCTTAAAAATAATTCAGGTGTTCTCTTTTGAAATTATTAGATAAAAACATTATTTCTTCTGATTTCTTACATTCTGGTGGTCAGATATCAAAGTATTTTTTTTTAAATGATGCTAATTTGCTTTTGTGAAATATACAAATTATATTTCATTTAACTTTAACTTTGTTCAATATATTGTATTACTGAATGCAATTAGCCTTTCTCTATAGTGAGTGCCCTCTGTTACACAATATTCTTCTTAAAAACTGATGTGCAAAGACGCATTTTGTCAATACCTGCATTATATATGGTTGCTGAACTGTATTTCAATGGGTTTTGTAAGGTTATACAAAGAAAATATAAAACAGCATATATCTGTCATTCACACAGAACAAAAAAACTGAACAATATTATTAAGTCAAGAATACATCTCTACCTGAATTTGTAAGAATAAGAGTTAACAGAGACTTTTCACAGGGAAAGAAGTCATTGTGGCAAAGCAAGACACCTTGATAGGAAGCAGTGTGATCTTTTCAATTTCTAGGCTATACATTATCTCTGTGTCTTCTGAATGGGAAGCATAAAGTTCTTTTCTCGTCCTGTGGATTCAAGTAGCACCTGTGCTTTTAGACTGATGGAAATAGACAAACTCAGGAAACCAGGGCTTCCTTGGGGGTCTCTCTCTTCATGCTACTTGCTAGTAACCTTGGGAGATTTTCTCAAAATGACTGGCTTTAAGTATGTAGCAAAATGTGCTATTCAACAGGTAAATTATGCTCTTAATCCCTCCTGCTGGACTGGCACGCACAGGCACACACTGGTTACCTGGACTCACAGCTGACACAGCTCTGGCCACAGTGACCTCATTTGATTTAGATAAATGAGGCTCAGTCACTGATGCTGACAGGTCCAGCAGCTCTCCAGCTCTGTTGCCTTTACTTCCAGGCATGTGTTTCTGTTCTAACCCGCTTCACTAATACCCTCAGGTTTAGGAATGGTTTTATAATCCTATTTTCTTCATTTTTCATTTTCTAACAGACACACAGAGTATTAGAGAACGAGGAGCTATTATCTTTGAATCAAAGGTTAAAACAAATTATTTTGCAGCTTGTTTCATCAGTTTACCCTTCACTGGTTCCATGTTTTCCCCCCTAGTAAATATTTTCTGTAGCACATCCCATGTTGATACTTTCTGTGGTTGTTTAAATATGCTTGAATAAATGCTAACTCACTGTCTACTGCTTTCCCATGTGAAGTAAGAGGATTAAGAAGTACACTGAGCATGTATGCAGAAATGGTGATTTTATGTGAGAGGAATTGTCATTTTTGCAATCTGGTCACTAAAGCGTCAGGTTGCTTTTAGCCTCCATTGTTTAGCTTCTGTTTTTCCACTTGAGCTCTAAAGTTTACTTCTTTGTGTGCTTGGCCAGGATCTTGTTGTCATGTTTCTTTTTACAAAGAATAAGTACTATTTAATGGTAAACAGCATTTTGTGCCATTGTCTACTTAAGGATTACTATTCTACTTCCTATATTTCTGTATTCATCCTAAGGTGAAGGAGGGTTTCTGAGTCTTCATACATATATACAGGGATGATCTCCCAAGAAAGGAAAGCTTGTCCAAATGGAAGGACTTAGAGAAAACAGACATCTTAGGGCAATATAGTATGCTCTTAAAAAAATCCTGAACGCAATGCAATAATGATGCAATAATGAAGACCACATCAAGAACTCTGGGAGAGACAGCAGATGTTGCGATTTTGAAGGGGACATATTGGTTTATGGCATGGGGCAGGGAATGAATAATGTAAAAAAGCCCCACTAACCTGAGAATAGATGAAGGAGAGGAAAATTAAAGGAGACCAAGTCAGCTTAACTCCATGGATTTAAAGATGCGCAGTTACAGAAGTACTATATTAAATGATAACAAGAAATTACCTAGCCTTTTTCCTAATAAGTCCACTAAAAAATTTATAACAGACTTAGCGTTACATGTCAGCAAGCAGATTTGGAAGGCAAGAGCTTAGCTTTGAAAGGGCAAGAGGAAAAGAAATGGAATAAATCAGAACAAACACTTGAGAAAATATTTTGAATTATATTTTCCGGCATGTGGTTCAGTAACAAATGCCTGCTCAGCTCTACCAAATACAAAGGGCACTTACCCAACCTGAGCAGCTGCCTAATCCAGCTCCAGGAACTGCTGGAAGCTTAAAAAGATCAGACACTAAATTCTTGTCAAAGGAAAATCTGGACCTTAATTTTGTTGATTGCTTTTTATTTGATTGCCCTTAAACAAGGTGCACAAGGTTATTCAGAAAAAAAAAATAAAACAAATCTAAAAGAAAGCTCTTTAGAATAAGGCACAGTGTATTTTTAAGTTTAACAAAATATACACGTGAAATTCTGGCCATCTTAAAACCTGTGGCCTGGAATCGTGGCCAGTATTTTTCCTGTTACCGCAAATTTTTTTAACTATGTTCATTCATAAAGAAGACATCAAAAGGAATAAGGATTGGTAAACACACAGTAGGCTTTTTTGTGGTATGTGGTGAAATACAACATTGATTTTGCTCAGTAATTTAGATAAACTAAAATCTCATTACTATTTGATTGCAGAGTTCAACTTCAGGATATATTTTTTTTTGATAAACTGAGTGAACAGTTTACTTTTCAAGAATGATGGAAGGATGAAATGTATTCTTAAGAAAACAATAAAT